TATATCATGAGAGATTTTTTCTGTCAGATTATAATTCATATATCCATTTTCTTTCATATGCAGTTAGATGTGATGACGAACACTTCAATGATACGTCATTGATATGAATAATTAGACGCTACAAAAACATACTCACACAAACATACCCACGTGTATGATACTACTATCGCTCGCCACCATGATTTTCTCCGTAGTTCGACTAATATACTAATAAGCAAGGTATGATCGACATACCTGGCATCCCAGTGAACGCTGTATTGCCCATCATCATATGTTGAGGATACATAGCATTGAGAGTCTGGTGGTGCCCCGCCTGTGGACCCATCGATGTCATTTGTTGATGGAACGATTGCGGTGGGAATCCAGTACCAGCCGCATGTGCATTGCTCAGAGCCATGTTTGCCTGCGCAGTAGCCATCGCGTTGTGGTGATTCATATTTATATTCATAGAGGCCGTATTCTTAGGCAGTTGGGTTGCGTTTGTACTACTTACATTTCCCTTTCCGTCCAGCTGCTGTTGTTGCTGCTGTTGTTGTATTTGCTGTTGTTGTTGTTGTTGTTGTTGTTGTTGTTGTTGTTGTTGTTGTTGTTGTTGTTGTTGTTGGTGTTGCACAAACCTTTGCTGTTGTTGTTGCTGCTGTAAGAATTGTAATGACTGCTGTGTCTGCGCCTGCGTGACAGCCTGAGCGTGTACCTGAGAGTGTAAACTCAAATTCGGCTGTGCTTGTGCAGTAGCACCTATACTCCCTAAACTCACATTCATCTGCTGTTGTGTGTGTGGCTGTTGTTGTTGTGGTTGCATCTGTGTGTCTAATTGCTGTGTGTGCTGTTGTTGTGTCATGGCATTCTGATGCTGTGCCTGTGACAGAACCATCGCCGCGGCATCCAAATTCAGCACAAACGGTGGGTCCATAGTGATTTTATTCGCTGCAAGTAGTGCTGCTATATCAGCTGCACTGGGGTTTCCATGTGTGTCCAAGTGCATGCTATTCACAGGATCGCTTTGCATCGTATTCAAGTCGTATTGTGCACCACCAATACTGTTGATATCGTAGTTTTTTCCACCGTAAAGAGTGCTAGTATCAGCCCCGAGGTCCTTATTGCCGTCTATAGTTTGTGTCGCGTGTGTTGTGGTGGTGTAATCACTCGTGTAGTTGCTGCGTGTATTGCTGCTCATAATATCTCGAAACTTGGTGCTCGACGTTAATTATAGTCGTGTTAGTCTGTGTGGTACTGTTGCGTAAAATAAGAAACCCACTGGAGTGACACAGTGAGTGCACGTCAGGTGTGTGATAAAAGTGTGATATTTAAAACGAGGTCAAAGTGATCGTGGCCAAACTTGAGGGGTTTTCCACCCTTCCGTTGTGTCCAACCATGTAGTGCTAAAGAAGCAATTCATCAAGATACAACAGTATATCTCCAAGATTCAACGACGATCACAAACCATGGAAACGCACTTGCACTGACAAGCCGAAACCGACTCAACTGGTTCTACAGTTTATGTATGAATGTACGTGGACACGCACGTGAATATCCTATACATACTACAAGCCGCTCTAATCTCTAGGGTAGATTAAAGTAAATAAATAAATAAATTATAGTGTCGCGCATTTGGTGTACGACTCTCTGGAGTCTGAAGAGAAGAGATTTTTTATTGAAAAACCCCCAAAACAAATACAATGTTAGATTAAATTTTCAAATAGTTTTTTTTTACAAAAACAAAGCAAAATATATATAGTTCTGCTTTTTTTCGTGCTTTTATGAAAACGTTTCTTTATTTATTTATTTCAAGATAATTCTCTTAGCCGAGCTGTTGGCCTGTTGCTGACTCTTGCTGATGACTATTGACTTGTGCTATCTTTTTCTTTTTTTATAGAATAGTTGGGAGTGTCTTGCAATTGACTCTCGCTGCCTGTCCGTGCGAAGCTGCGAAGGTGAATACTCCCGTTCGCAGGGCCCAGGGGATGGTTTCTTTATGGGAGGGTTTGTGTGGACAGGCTCATCAGCAGGCATAAACGTGATACATTTGGTGGTGATGATTGATGAGAAATTGAGAACTGATGAAGTGATGATATAAATACATAATGTTCTTTTTTTTATAAATAGAATTATTATCTGATAAAATATATTTAAAGAGGGAGAATGATGATATGAATGATATGATATATGTCAATACTAAAATAGATTGTATTTAGTTCTTGCACACAAGTTGCAACTTAGAGCCATCATCGTTTGCTGATCATATCAGCTCAAGAGTTGTAAGAGAACGAATTGCTCGGTCGTTCTGTATTTGAAGAACCTGGTCTCCTCTTTCTAATGAGAGGACATAATGTGATATATATATATATATAAAAGACTAGGCTGAGAAGTTCTTCTTCGGCAGCCTCATAAGTACTTTCAGCTATTCATGGCTAGTCCCTCTGGTTCTGCATGTTGTGCTAGAAGCAAAGTCAACAATAAATACTTATATCCCTCGTTATGTCGTTTAATGCGAAGATAGAGCCTGCGAATTCTGGCATACAGTAGTCGTTTCATTACTGGCCAATCGCATCCAGCATTTCTTCATCTGATATCATCATGGTACACAAACTGCAAACTGATATATTCTTGTCAGACTTTCAATCATTGTACTGTTATTTCGTATGGCGTTTGTGATTTACACCCAGTAGATAATAATCGTGGTTCAATGAGCTTAG